AGGCCAACTCTCCGCAGTATACTGTTGCTGACGTCACTGAAGTATCCGTTTAAGTTGGTATCCTCTACGTACAAGGGCACATCGCTATTCGGCTCTGTTGTGCCGTGCATATGTTTGACTCTGTTATAAATAGACGGAGATTTGAAACTAAAAAGAATTCACACACAACAATATTACAAATAGTATATTAGTATTATTGTAAAGCTTGTCTGTTGATCGACATGTCAGAGGGTACTTTTAAAACAACCTAACCTAACACATGTGTTAGGTTAGGTGGATGTTATGTATTGTGTATTCAAGGACCGACATGGTATTAAATTTTTTCTTTCCTCTCTCAATTTCTAATTTACTTACTAATAACGTATAATTAACTATTAATAAAACGCACACATACCGTTTAAAAGATTCGCTGTTTGAATACTGATTTTTAGAAAGGACGATTTCGTGGTCGTGCTCTTTAATATCTTGACTTAAACCTTTACGGGTTTGTATATCTTCAGATCTGAAATTTTTAAGGTAACATTTAAATTAATTAATAATCCAAAGCAGCTACAATTAGAAGATCTTATTTTACATTTTTAAACTAACAGTATAGTCTTACCATTAGGTCCAATGCTGGTTACTCTAGTTTATTACTTAAGTACAGCTTACCTTCTCTCGATACTGTTCATGCTATTGCCTATGTCGGACTGCGGCTTGTTCCTGTGCACCTTCTGGCTCATCCTCTGAACCACGTTCTCGATGTCCCGCATCCTGCTGCCTATGGCGTCCACCAGCGCCTGTAGGTTCGGGGACTTGCTCTCTTTCTTTTCTGTTTCTTGTTCCTAAAAATAATCTTTATGTTCATATTTTCCAACACAATTGTTTTATTATGGCTTTCATTTTACGGAATGGTTCAGTAAAAATATTTATACGTGCTTACTTTTGCGTTCTCTACGTCCATAGACATTTCGTGTTCATTCCATTGGTTGGGTGGGACCTCGGTCCACGTTATTTGGCGTGCCATCGATTTCTGGAGAATAAATAGTTACAATCAAAATAAGATCAATCAAACCAAATATTTTCTACTTTCTTTATAGCTTTTTTATTGATTAAAACGTATTTAGATATGCAATTTTAGAGTTTTCACATTTAAAGGGGTTATTTACATTTGTATCCGAATACTGATGAAGATCGATAATTTGTTTTCTTACCTTTTCAGTAGTGGATTGTATATCTTCATAGTCCATGTCGTTGCGCAATTCCGGAGCCTCCTCTTCAACGTCCTGCCTTGAAAAATGGCTCGTTGGATTTTTTTTAAAGTAGTTTCTTCTACGAAGATATTTTAACATATTATATGTAATTAAAATTTTTAGCAATTCCTAACCTAACTAATGTTATATTAACTAAGAGATATACAATACTAGGGTGGCAGACTCAATCCACGCTTATAAACTTTCTGTGTAGAAGACCTGTACAAAAGCACAATAGTCCAATAGTCTTTATTTTTTTTACATGTTAAGGGTGATGATTTTTACAGTTCTTTGGGCAGTGGAAACTCTTTAAATTTCATAGAATAAAATAAAATTAAGTAAAATGCGTAGTAACTTACCTCCCACTATCGAATTTCTTAACTTCTTTCTCTTCCTTGTTCGTCGCCAACGCAATCTGTAATATGTTATTCTAATTCATTTATATTAAATCTGTAGGAAGCACAAACATTGAGATATAACATTAAATTAAAATAAAAAAAGACAATAAACGTTTGCGTGCTATGCTACAATTGCTACGCCTAGGACCTACGGCGTAGCACTTGGCGAACATAGAGCACTAATCTCAAAAGACTGTTATTTAATACTATGTGAATGTTTTTGCAGTATGTTTTGTCTGCAACATGTGCACAGAGACTACTAGATTCTGATCACCTCTGCTTTTACATTCACCCAAACCAAACATATGAATTGGCAATTCAGAACTACAATCACTTTTAACTTTATCGTTTCCCGATTTTTTTAGCTTTTTGTAATACTAACCACAATATCAGGTGCGGCGTTGGTATTTGTTCTTTGGACGGAATCCTTGCAGTTTGCGGGGTCCTCAGTGGTGGCTTTCTTTGCCGCCCTCAACACACCTTGCTCCTCGTTGTCCATCGCCAGTTCGTATACGGGACCTTCGCCGTGTCTTCGGAAAAAATAACGTGAAAACGTTGTGATTTTTACAAATGGTATAATAAATGCCAATAGTATTCCATTTCATTATCTACGTTTTGTCATACTTTGGTAAGAAGCTAGCGTCGGGGGGTGGTGGTTTTTTCATTTTGTACATGTGGCTCCAGGGCGCGG